ACATGTACACAGACTGCAGACTTCCCGGAGCGTCGGTGCTTCACGTCAGCTATATGTTCTTTCACGCGGGTTTTAATTAGTGGCGAATCTAGGGCTCCAAACTGGGGCAAGCCCAAGATATGCTTTTGTTTTTTTAGCAGTTTTAAAAATACATCTATCTTGATCTGTCTCCACTCTTCAGTTTTATAATCAGTTCTGTCGGGGACGTGTTTAACAAAGTAGACCGAAGGCATACTACTGCTAGATAGATTGTATGACATATCAGCAATTGCATACCTTCGGTGGCTTTGAAAAAAGCCGTTTGGGTTTGCTTGAGCGAAAAAAAGATGTTTACATACAATACAATACATGAACAAAAGAAAAGCATGAACAAAGTACAAAAATTATAAAAACGAATTATTTATATTCTAAATCGAATCGTCTCTCTTTCTTAAGGAAAGATTTAATTACGTCTGCGTAAAATGTTGGTTTAATTTTACCAATAACTGTTTTTCAATCGCGATAATTGATAAGTCTGAAAGACGCTCTTGACCTTGTGTATTTCTCAAATAAGTATGGATGCGCTTCAGAGATGAGAAAGCACGTTCCGCGGAGGAACTTGTGGCTGGAATAGTTACGACAAGATAAGCTAACTTTAAAAGTTGGGGAAAGGCCTCTTCAAGACTATTTTCATTTATAAAGTCAATGAGTTCGAAAACATTGCGGTCTTTTAATTCAGGGGAGGAATACAATGAAATCAATTGGTTTTTCAATGTTTGTTTACAAAATGGTTTATGTAATTTTCAAATAATGAATCTAATGCCTCTAAAGGAAAATCTGAACGATATTTTTCGAATAGTTTGTTGTTGAACAATTGGAAAAATTTTAATTGGAAAATTTCAGAATATCGGCCATTAATTTCTGAAGATATGTTATCAATTATTTCAACAAAAAGTAGTTTATATTCTGTCTGAGCACAGCGCACATTGCGTCTCAAACGAGGAGCAGAGGTATTTTGTAATGTGTTTTCATAAATGTGATCAAAATCTGACTGAAATTCAGTACGTAACCATGTCCGAAACTCCTTTATTTTATGACTGCAATAACCGACATCACGACAAGATTTAGATAAAATTAATGCCAAAATGTGTGCATTACACCAGTTATACATGGCTTGGGGACAAATATCTTTAACTTTTTTGTTGCACTCCATTTCTGACACCGAACACTTGCGCCGTCATAGCTTTGCGCAACTAGTTTTGTGGTGCAGTCATGTTTGTTTAATAATTCCAATATGATATTACAAAGTGTGTCTGCTGTGCGACTTTCAGACACATCTACATACCCCAAAAAACGGTCATGAATATTGTTTCCATAATAATATCGGAGAATCAGACACAATTGCTCTCTGTGACTAACATCGGGAGTTTCGTCAATAATAATTGAAACGAATTTTGACAATTTTACTTCGTACTCGATGTGAGTTTTCATTACATCAGCGACAGAATGAATAATGTCATTTTGGATTGTACTAGATAAATAACTCGGCCGTTTGTCGCTTTGATGATATTGTATATGCTTTTCTAAGACGAGATCGTACTTCGAAAGAAGCGATACAAGTTCTAAAAAATTGCCTCTATTTAATGAAGTTTTCGACTCATCGTGACCTCTGAAAGGAAGTTCTTGTTGTGCTAAATGGCAAACAATATCGACTAATCTTTGAAAAACACTACGGTTGTGATCAACACGCATGTTGTATTTTATAATTTCCTCTGATAACTGGCGCGACAAAGATGTTTCAATCCGATTTTTTCCAAAATTACTAAACGAAATTACCGCATTCATGTGTTTTTGAGAATTCATATGCCTTTTAATGGCTCCAGATAAGTTATTTAAATCGTCATATCCAGTAGTATTCCAAGCCGTTTTGTCGTTGGAAAAGAATATACAACACCAACAGTACAATTTATTGGTATGTGAGCAGCCAACAATCCAATGAGTTTTGTAAACAGATCTATTAAATTGCCGTTTATGGGTTTTACTCGTCTGAGAAATACACAGATCAGGCATTGGTTTCGGCGAGGATATGAGCTGTTTTTTCTCAACAAAGTTTAAAAATTTTACCTTTTCCTCGCCGATTAACACTTTAACACACTTCAATTCATCACAAGGAACACTCTTTCCCTCCATTTTCACTAATACTAATTACTATTTAAAAAAGCATAAATTTTAAACTCGCAATACATTCGCTCAAGCTCAACACACAATGCACAAAGTAAAAGTACTTTTTGACACAATGTAAACACTAAACATTGAAATGTGACACGAACTTGCTAACATATCGTCGGATCGTCGGCGTCGGCCGCGCGCCTCCCCTCTTGACTAACTTGACCATACCTAACGTGACCATACGTCCCACTTTAGGCGGGACGTTCCCGATTTAAATGTTTATGCCGCGCTATCCCCAAAATACGTAAAAATGTCCCGCTTTGACAAACAAAAGCGTGACAATCACGCAAACCCTGTTACCCATGCCATCATACCGCGCGTACCAGGTTTGCATAGCTTGTCTAGTTACGTGATTATTCTGAAAAGCTACACTTTTGAAGTTAAAGTTACAAAGTGACAATTTTTAATTAATCTACAATAAATTATCAAATAACATAAGATATTTCCAATTAGTATTTATTTGATATTTAGAATTCACTTTTGATCATTAAAAGACTCAAAAAACTATGTGTTTTATTTATAAAACTATATTAAAGGGTTCCAGATTGATTTTTAATAATGGCGTAAGTATAATACTAACATATACAATAAGTGAGTAATACTACTGCTACTGAGAATTTTGTGACGGAAAAACCCAATAAATGATTCTTGACCCGACTCGGGTTTCGAACTTGGGACCACATGATCAGCAATTGCGTTTACTGCCATTAGACCAAGAAGGCAGTCAAAAGTGTTAGAACTATAATAATTTTAAAGGCGTCTCGCTCTGAGGAAAAAATTAATGGTCACTAAAAAGCCGGGCTTTTTAGCTCCATACTAATTGCTATTTATACAATCGTAGTTATATTTCATTATAGAACATTTTGCCACAGGTTAGAAAGGGACCGATCGCCTTCTCGAAAGCCCGGTAAAAACTCACGCGTGCGAGGGAGAAAACCAATCGCTCAATTCAACTCTTCTTATATGTATGACAGCAGTATTCGTAAGGCTACGAGGTCGCACAGAGTGCGCGGGAAATTTTAAATAGTTTGAAACAGTTTACGAGTTATTTTATTACTTAATATAATTGATTGATTCATCTTAATGAGGCAAGCCGGGCTTTTGGGCTTGTATAGAAGCTTCGCCACTGGTTTTAATGGATCTTTTTGTTTGACCTATGTAAGAGAGACCACATTCACAATCTAACTTGTACACTCCTTGTCCTTGTACGTCCACACACGCATCTTGTAGAGGGATATTACACTTGACGGATGGTAAAAATTGACTAATCTTCTTCGGCGGCTTGCAGTATGTTTTAATGGAAGCTCGCTTCAAGATGTAGCCAACCTTGTCTGTGACTCCTCTGACATATGGTAGTACAGTAGGCACACGCTCGACTGTGGCCGGCTTCACTCGGTCACTGTGACGTAGGCGCGGGACCCGAAGCTTGTTGTTTTGGAACACTTGCTTGACGTGCTGAAGCTCGGCGGCCAGATGTTTTCTGTCACAGATCCCTCGTGCTCTCTGAAACAAAGATTTACCCACGGTAGCTAACTGTGAAGGATGATGGTGAGATTCAACATTTAAATGTCGGTTGGTATGGGTCTTTTTCCTATATACAGTGTGACCAACGGTGTTATCAGGATTTCGAATGACTAAAACATCTAGGAAAACTAAGGAATTATTTGCCTCTGACTCCATTGTGAATTGTATTTTAGAGTTTATAAAGTTAAGGTGGTCTGAAAATGCAGTTACTTTGGTAAAATTGTGAATATGTCGTCTACGTACCACTTGTAGAATCTTGGATTTACAGGAGTAGTAAGAAGGGCTTTCTCCTCGAAGTCCTCCATGAATATGTCAGCGACTATAGGAGATACAGGTGAGCCCAAAGCACCCGAAACGTCGGGAATTAAAAATAAGTAAAATCAGTTAATTAAACGCCATAGAATCCGTAAATTTAGTTTTATTCAATATGAAACTGTTATTAAATGAATTGCTGCGTTACTTACCATAAATTGAAATATAAAATATAACACATTTTTTGCGATATACCGTAAGATTTTACGATGTTTATAGGAACCACAGACAATATTATTTAAGAAACAAAAAATCGAAACATATGTGCTGACCTAGAAGTGTGAATAATATCAATATTTAAATATTGTTATCACATTTAAATTGAGATTCTGTAAGTTACGCCTTTTGACACTCGGCTCATATCTGAGGTCATTGACCGTTTTTCTCAATCGATTTGGCACATACTATATGTGTTTCTATAACATTTGTGCTGAGTAGACGCCATTTTAATTACTAAATTTATTTTGTTACGGTAATTTATATTTATATATGGAATTAAATAAATTATATTATTATTATAATAATGTAACACACCTACATCATAATATAACACACATACACGGCCACTAATCAAATGCTAAATAATATGTTGTCATCTATCCATTTCATCCATTAGATCCAAAAGTCTACTGCTGAGCATAGGCTTCGCCCATAGTGCCTCATCTGCTCTCGCTTGGCAGGCGATTTGACAATAGCAGTTCTTTTATTTTTCATTTATTATTAGGAAGATGCTGCTGCTCATCTACTGGTTAGTTTTCCTCTGCCGCCTCTTACGACATCTGTGCAAAGATAAGTGGTTGATCTTCCTACACCGCAAATAAACGGCCAAGGTGAGGTAGGGTATGGTAGCTTGTACATATTTTAAAAAATTCCCTAGATTGCAACATTTAAGTAAGAGTGCTTTTCAATTTAACATTTCAAAATAAAATATACCTAAAATATTATTTGTTACTTACATAAATGATATAGAAAAAGAGAAAGATATACTCTGTCCATGTTCCATCTGAATTGAAGAATTTTCCATAACAAAAACACCAGCAGGATTTTTTGTATCAAATTTCCCCATTTCACTTATTTTAAAATAAAATAAATAATTGTTTATAAGTCTGAACCACCTTTCTTTAAATACTGAAAATAAAAACAAAACAATTTACATGTTTTGATAAGCAATACTATAATATTTTAATTACTTTCGTATGTTAGATTACGGATCTGTAGGCTGAAGTAGCAATGAGCTGAAACAACTGATAACTGTTATATTACATAGTACTTCCAAAAATGTAGTACACGAGTTCAGCAATTAACTTTAACTTGGCGCATTTAATAAGGATTCCAAAATGGCATAAAACTTGAAACATTATTTGTTAAATTATAGAAAAATATTTTTTTAAAGAAAACCAGTAGTAAATTAATTTTCCTTACCTGTCTAAAATGATTTTTATGTACCCCCAGGCCCGTTATATAAGATTTTAGTTTGAGTGAAACGAAGAAACTAGTTAAAGTGTGAGCGAGACAAAAATTGACTTTTCAGGTAGTCAAAAATCATCACGAGCGATATTGACTCAGTATATTTGCTTTAAAATTAAGATATTTTTTTTAGAAACGTTTTAAATTAATAAATTAAACATTGACTATTTGAATGCTAAAATGTATTAAACTCACTAAATGTTTTAAATTAAACAAACAAAATGCCTTAATTAAATATCAAGGATGTAACATTTACAGCAAATGCTCTAACTGCCTACCTTCAATGCATGCTTGGCATCTTCGTAAAAAGGATCGGGTTATAAGACGAGCAAATCTACCAATATTTACAAATTCAGCAGTTTCAGTCAGTCTTTTCGGTGAAGCTACATTTTTAACGGATTTTAAATAAACTTTTTCTTTGACAACTACTAGTAAAAAAATCTAATGGATTCAAATCAGATGAACGGGCTGGCCACGGGATTGTACATATATATCGGATATATTCTCTTACTGAGCGGGCGTAGTGCGGTGGGCAACAATCTTGTAGGAATCACATGCCCCTGTAGATACTTAGTGGTATGTTCTACAATAAATTTGCCAAATGATTTTGTAAAAAATCATGAAATAAAAAAATAAAAAGGACCGATTATTTGTCCATTCGAAATTCCAGTCTAAAGGTTAACCTTAACACTTCAAGCGCCATAAAAATCCCATGCAACCGCATGCACCCGGCAAATCCCGAGCGGAGCGACCGCACCCACCCACAGCACTTAAAACCATTAAAACTTACATTTAGAGACTACTTTTCTATTTTGATAACAAAAGAAACATACCAAGCGAATGTCGGCAGCGTGAAAATCACAATTATTTCAATATATATTACTCGAAATTATTTACGTAAAAAGATAAATTATATTCACACAAAAACTTTCATTACAATTTTATAATAAAACACTATACTAAAACACTAATAAAACACTAGAAAAATTAAAAAATCAACACAATAACATTCACGCGAAAATGGCGTACGAAATAAACGTAGATTATAAATAAATATTCGTAGGATAACAGTTTTTTTATTGCACAAGAGGATAGAGTATTTCATATTGATTATATAATGCTAAACTTCTTCATAGAAAAGTAGTCTCTATTGTAAGTCTATATGGGTTAAAATGCTGTGGATGGGTGCGACCTCATGAGACCGCTAAGGATTTGACGGAATATGGCCGCGGTCTCATGAGACCGCCAGGGAGTTGAGAGGTTAAAGCGATACTGTGATCGATCTTCTCTCTTCAAATTTGGATTTTCTATGTGCCACTCGTGTAAGTTATGCAGATACATGTATCCATCTTTTTTAAATATGGACTCATCCGAGCATAAAAATTTTTCATGGATTCGTGAATTTTTTTCTATCTAGAATTGCTTGACAAAACGCAACCTGTGGCTCATAATGTCGTGGAAGAAGAGTTTGTACTCGGTGTAAGTGGTATGCGTGAAGCTCATTTTTTGCAATATCCCGCGTTTCACTTTTGGGCACTCCGGTTTTCAATTCTATTGCGCGCACTGAAGTACTCCGGTCTTTTTCGACAGGTTCTAGCATAATATTCTTGTAAGAGAGAGAAGGTCTCCCCTCACCATGTGCTTGGTTTGGAAGTCAGCCCTCTATGAAGAGGTAAATGGTGCACATTTAAAAAAAATCGATGATATGTATGACGAGCAGCTTTTAGGTACCTCTCACGATAAAATCTAGCTGCAGTACAAGCGTTGCATCTGGATTCCCCATAAATGAAGTGCATTTAGCATATTCTTGTGTGGTATACATAAATATGGTAGCACAGAACCATCACACTTTCAACAATAGTCCACGGGAAAGCAATGGTTGTCTTAAAGATGAACTAAACAGGCTAAATCCAAATCACATGCAATCAAGTCCAATAAACAAAGCCAAATGTGGTACGTCCATGAATATGACCAACATGAACAAATACAGAAAGATGCCTTATGACTTATTAAATGCGCCCGCTTTATTTAGGTTACTTGCCAAACTCGTGTAGTACATTCTTTTCCAGTACAGTCATTTATTAAAACTTCGCAAAGTATTAATTTTGAATACTTGGTTGCGAAAAAAGTTACATTTCATTCTGAACTGGAGCAGTTGGCTGTAAATTTTAATCGACAGTTTTCAGAAGCATTATTCAGGATTATATAATAAAAAGAAAATTAAAAAATGTTAAAATTTTGTAGCAACAGGAGTTAAGAAACCATCACAAAATGTAGGTTTTTTCAATTTTTTTTATAAATGCCTGTAATTTATAAAATACATAGCAAAGTTTTGTTCATATTTTTCTGTTAACTATTATTAGTTGACACATTACATGGTTCCGGCTTGACGTCGACAACCTGCATATAAGTAATGGGGGAAAAACGTTCTCGAGTGGCAGCCTTGTAATCATAGGGTAGGGCGGCCCCCACACTAGCTAGTATGATAACATGGTCAGAGATGCAGGAAGTCAATAGACAGTGGTGGCTCAGGGACCATGTATTCTGATATTCCTTGTGGTCTCCCCCAAGGAATGTTCAGCAGTAGACTTGTGAAGCGCTGTCATGATGATGATGATGATAATGTCAATGTTAGAAAAATATATTAATGATGAAGTGCTAAAGTAACACAGAGGGTTGTTGGAAAGGATTTTCAACAAAAAAAATGTGTAATACTAAAACTAGTAAGGGATATTTTCACTTTTCATATTTAAGTTAAGTGAATGTTAATTAAAGAAAAAGACATGCAGTAATAAGCAAAATAAGGCTTAAAATAAAAAATGCACAGCCTCAGAAATACAGGACAATTTTACTAAAACTATGATAAGAGTAATTATTGTTACTACATATAGTTGATAGAGTTCACAAATTAATCAATTTAATTAATTGTCCTAACAGAAGGATTTTCTCCTGTATAGTTCAAGTGACTTATGTACATAAATTGCACAATAAAACACATCCAGACCTGGAACAATGATTTGTAGGTCATACAAACATTTTCATTTTTCGGAATTCAAACCTGAAGCTCTGCAGTTCCACAACCAAATGTTAACCACTGATCCATCACAGAAATATTGTAGTAGCATAAAATGTTTATTACATTTTTTAATAAAATTAAAACTAGGTACAAAAAGTTAAGTAAGGAGTGGTTGTTTCCCTTGATGGTAATGTTTGTAAAGTTAGTTCAATGTGTGTGACCTCAGAAGATAGCGAATAAGCAAAAATGTACAGTTGTTAGACCATACAGAAAATATGTGTACCAAATCTACTAATTTATGAAATATAATAAGGTGTTTTTGTATCTTTGACAGAACTCGGCAAGTGGCGCCAATAAGAGTGAAACCTCTCCACGCGCTCGGCTAACTTGATTAATGGTGGTTAATATAACGCATAGCGCCATATTATAGCGCGCTATTTCTTCATAACACATAGCGCGTGTTATGTAAGTAAGCGCCATGGCGCTATTGCGCTTTTAAGTATTAATATCTAGCGGCAATTAGTTCTAGCAGCAGCGCTGTTGGGAGAGGACTTGTGACGGAAATTTGATCTCGTAGCGCGCTATTCTTCGCGCGCGACCTAATTTAATGTTAGACGTTGTTTAGTTAGTGTATACTGTATATTTATAAGTAAGTGATCAAAGGACACAGTTGTGATAAATGAAGCCTAACTAATGTTTTTAAATGTAAATAAAATATAGATACCAAAGTGTATATAATAGTGTATGTAAATAATTGATTTTTATAAATACAATAAATAAACTTTTAAATACACCTTTATTTGATTTATAATTTATATTAAGGTTATAATAATGTTTACATCAATTATAATAAAAAATAATTAATTTTATTTCGATTCAAAAATAAAATAAATCCTATTTTAAAAAGTACATGACTTAAAAATATTTTTGTTTAGCGGAATTGTTTAGCGGAAAGTTGCAAAGAAATTTATATTTTTATTTTTTATTATAATGGATTTCCGCAAAGTAACGCCTGATTCTATCAATTATATGACATCTTTTGTTTTCGTGTGTTTCTTTATGGTTTCGATTCTTATTCTATCGGATAGTCTTTTCCCCATCATACTCCTTTCCATGGACTTTTTTCCGGTTCCGGTCATTGAACTGATTGGACGTGCGTCAACGTTCTCCGCGAATATATACTAGAGTTGTGTGCAAAAACAAGTGTAATCAACCGTATTTTACCTAAGATTGCTGAACAAAACAAAACGGGCAAAATCCAGAAGTAAAAACAGTGGAAACCAACATAAGTGAAAAATTGTACAACAAACATTATTGAAACATAACCTAAAATTGCAAAATCATTGAAGGGAAGTGAACAACACACCATAGACAACTTTCAAGAAGTGACATTAAAAAGTGTTGCCTACCATAATTCAATGTTACTTAACGGAACCTAGTGTTGCCAAACAGAATTTAGGGCTGCCAAATAAACACAGTGCTGCCATAACAGTAAAATTTCCCTAAAAAATGGAGGAAAAGTATATGGAAAAGCTAATATCAATACTAGATAAGAAACTTAATAATCAGGCTCTTCTAATAACAACTTCAGTTACGAAAAATGTAATGGAGGCGCTTGATGAAAAGATGAAACTTATTATGGAAG